AAAAAGGAAGTTTCATGGTTTCCTTAATAAAAAAACCCTAAAAAGAGAAGAATAGCATAAGTTTTTAGATTATTTTCTTTCTATCCCCTCTATTCCATGTGGACTGGAGTCTCCTTTTATAAGTTATGAAAACTGAAAAGTCGCCTTGATGTGAAACCATGCTTAGAGTCTGTTTAGTATTGCTGTCGGAGGTAAAAAAAAAAAAAAAAAAAAAAATTGAAAAAAAACTTTTTTTTGAATAAATAAGTATTTGGTAAATTCTTAAAATTGCTTTTAAAAGAGTCAGAACTCAGAAGCAGAAAATTATTTTTTAAGACTAAAATATTTTATATATATATATATATACATATTTATCAATATATTGCTTATTAAATTAACCTATCTCATAAGTTTGGTTAATTTTCATCCAAAAATTTTATTTTTTATTTTAATATGATAATTTTTATTTTATTTTTATGTTTTTATATTATTATTTATACTTTTTATTGTATATATTATTTTACGTATCATTTTATAGAATTATAAATAAAAGTAACAACAATATTTTTGCATGATTAAAAAAAAAGTAATAATTAAAGATTTAGACCTCCCAAAAAAGAAATTATTTTCTTAATCTACGTATTATTTGTTTTTGAATTTCTTAAAACTTTGGAGTATTATAACAAAAAAGGATAATTGTTAATATTGAATCCAAAAAAACATGTAACGAATAGCAAAAAGATTCATCTTTTCAATATTTTTCAACAATATTTATCTATGTATAATATTGATTGAAAATTTGAATATGTACATTTTAATTAATTAACATTGATACTTGTCATTTTTCGTAATTTGATTCTCAAAAGTACTTTTTTAAAAAATAAGTCAAACACAAATTGATTATCAAAAGCATCTTTCAAATGAATTTGTCAAACACAAATTGTTTTTTTGAAAAGCACCCGAATGCCCGATGCCAGAGGACAAAAGACCCATTCTCGATAACACATAGATGATGACATAGTCAAAGTCTCTAATATAAATAGAATAAGTTAAGTTACATATGTAAACATCAACCAGACTTCGGTAGTTAACAACCACCTATTTCTTTGAAACATCAAATCCGACGTAGCATGAGTTCTACGTTAGTAAACGAAGAATTGGGGGATATCAATCCTATGTCCAAAGTAGAGCACCATTATCTGATCAGGCTAAAGAAAGACTTCAGGACAAATTAGATATGAGGAAAGGTTGAAACGATAAGAAGAGTGCTTAGTGTGGAGACATCGCCGGAGGGAGGAAATTCTCGCGAATAAGGAAGCACGTCGACTCCGAAAGGAAGCTCCCGAGAGGGAAAGAGAAGAAAAGAACCAATGACATCATCCCAATTGATTGCTTCTCTCGAGATAGTAGCGAGGAAGGAAAATATTTTGTCTATCGATGTAGTTCCAAGTCTTCGATGTCCCTCAGAGATTGACAAGAATTTGTAGTAACAGAGTAGTAGAATGAGATTGATGATGAGCAGGCAAAAGCCCCCAGATCTCCTGATTTGAGAGCTGGGTTCAACCTTTTTTGAAAAACTATTTTAAAAAAACTCTTTTAAAAATAAGCAATTTTTAATAGTAATATCAAACATGCTCTTAGTACTAAAAAGTTATTTTATAGCACGTATTTATGCTCTGACGCTTTAACTAACATTGATTGAAGCAGGTGGACATGTGGCTCAAGGTTGATTAATCGTCTTTTGAGAGTCATATGACTCCATTCCACGGTAAGGCAGTCTTCTTTGGGTCACCAAGGCTTTTCGTGTTATACTAGGGATGGACTCATTTGTTCTCCTCAAGCTATATATACAAGTGTTCCTTCGAACAATTTAACTGAATTTTGATTCAATAATTCTTTATAAATTTATTTTTATTTTTGTACTTTTTTAATAGATCTTCATTTTACAGGTGAATAATCAAGAAAAAATGTTTTCTTTCATTTAATTCGTAAGTGACCTTTTATATAATTTGTAAGATCATTTTGCCTTCACCTTTCTTTTTATTCGCTTAAAACTAGTGACACTCATTTTTATCCTTTTTTTTTAATTAATAGCAAAGACAATTATATATATACCACACCAAATTCGTTTATATTATACCATGGACATAATTAAGTAGAAAAAATCCAAAATAATTTTCAATGATAAAATGCTTAATTCATAGTCTTTCAACTTTAATTATTTCCAAATTTCTTTTAAAAAAAAAACAATTTTCATACACTCTTCACTATAGCGGCACTATATCCGCTCTGCTCATCCCAGAACTTCGACCACAACATAACACCTCCATACTTGCGTGATTTCTTAATCGCCGGAAGAATTTCCTCCGTCAACACATCCGCCGGAATAAATCCACTTCCGGCAGCCTGCGGTGCAGCCGGAAGCCCCAAAAATATCCTTTTCGCTTTCACCGACGTCGTCCACCGGACCCAAGAATTTTTCAGATTATCCGTATTATTAGGAGTGAACTGGCACGGAGGATTATTGTAAAATTGAATCCAAACATTATCAAAAAGCTTTGAATTCAAGGCAGAACCAAGCAATCGATCGGGAAATGGACATTGGGGAGCTGCGGTAAGGTACATTTTTCTTCCACGCTTGCTGTAATTTTTCAAATATTTAGCTAGATCTTCGTAGTGAAGCGGCGATCCAAGCTCAATATCAAAGTCAATTCCATCGAGAATAGCATTTCCCAAAGGCCTAAAAGAGGAACGGCCACCTAAGAAATTGTTCCATAGATACCTTGCAACGTCCTTAGCGTCTTTTTTCGAAGCTAATGAGTAATTTCCAACGCCACCGCCAATAGACAACATTACTTTGACGCCTAATTTTTGGCAGTGTTTGATTTCCGGGCCGACGATTGTGCATCCATTGACGGCGGGGTTGCAGTGACCGGCGAGATTGATTTCAGGGGTTTGGCCGTTTCCGAATTTGTTAAGAAAGGCTAAGTTGACATAGGCATATCGCCCAGAATTACAGGTGTCGTTTAAAGTTGCTTCGTTGCCGTTTTGGCCCCAGTAAATAGCTATGCCACCAGCAATTGAGTTCTTGACAATAGCTAAGAATAAAATAGAGGAAAAGAGGAGATTGAAGGCCATTTTAGATTGAATATTGGGGTATGATTGGAGTTAGATTAAAAGAGACTGGTTTTATATAGGAGGAGATTGGGAGGAAAAAAGGGAGAGGATATTTTCTTTCCATAAAATAGTAGTACCACTCTGTTGCATTATGGGAATTCTTGGAATATTTTACATCAAAAGACAGCTAAAGAATGGAATCTGGGAAGGAGGAAGTCAAACATCCAAGGTATATATTTGGTCATGTCATCTCCAGAATAACCATTTTCTGTTAGTGAATTTTTGGTTAATTTCTTTCTCTTTTCAAGATCTTTAGGTGAAAAATATAATATTTGTATTAGTTATATTTACATTAATTATATTTAGATTATTTTTATGCGGTGTTGATTTAATGTATTAAAAATAGAAAAATGGTAACATTGTCAATTATGCAAAATAAATCACTTATACCTTCACATTTTGGGATAAAAAATGTCCCCGACATTATCTTAGGAGACCAGAAATATCATCAAGAGTTAACAACAGTGATGTGGCGTCACATAACACTAATTCCACCACATAAGCTTGCCAACTAGGATACCCACTGAATTTTGACCCAATTTATAATCGAAATCTTAACCCATTCTTGAATGATGAATCCCAACCCACTAAAATTTTAAAAAAATAAAAAAATTCCAATGCATTCTTCCACCGGCCCCTTTCTGTCTTATGATTAAAAGTCAAGACCTAGCAGGTAATTCAAATAGAATCAAGGAACAAGCAAAAATCAAATAACCGGCTGACGGAGGTAGTAGATATTTCATAGAATTAATTGAGTTATATGAACAATACGATTATAAATAGAATAAAAATTAAAATCAAAATCAACACACTGGTTCCAAAATATGCGGGTTTTTTTTTTTTTGACTTTTTGCATCAATTTTAATAGGTTAAATACACAATCGTCCCACATGAAGCCTCACAAATGCAAGAGGAGCCTTCCCTAGTGGTGGTTCAAGAAGCAAAAGTAAACCTTGAGGCAGAGACGTGATGGGACATGGAAGATGAGGGGATTTTAAAAGAAATGCTACAACTGTGTGAGTCAAACTTATGACCTAAAATATTGTTTAATCCTCTTTTATCACTACGTTAGAAATTCTCCTTGTGTTAATAGAATTCAACAATCAATAAATATATACATAAAAAAAAGATAGAGTTTCACTTATTAATCATCTATTGGCCAATGTGTCTCCTCTCAAATCATATGAGCCGTTTCTACATTTTTTTTCTATTACATTATGAAATAATGAATTGAGTAAACATCATATGGGATGAATAATCATATCCTAAATAAGAAGTTGATAAGTGTGGATCAAGGAAAGACGTGCTATTAATAATGCACCATATGGCTAGCTGATATACTTCAAACTACTTAATTATTGAGTTGACCAATGAACACATATTTTATGTAAAAATACGTTTAAAGGTCTATCTTATCTCCTTATTTTCTTTTCTTTGCAGTCTGCACGAACTTTTCAAGAAGTTTTAGATATGATTTTTGAACTCACAACATCTAAATTCTAATGTCCTCATTGAATAGTGTAGAAAACAACACACTATTCCACTTCTCAGAAATTATAGTAACCTTAAGTTGAACAAACTGGCCCGCTAGCACGAAAAGTGCAGTATTTGTAGGTTACTTGAGAATAGTATTTATTCCTGTTATCACTTGTGCAATTAAATCTTTACGTGGTTCAGAATTCCTGTTCATCAAACTAATGCCCAAATTGATGTACACTTTTAAAAAAAAATGATATTGTAGGCAAAATTTGCTGATCTATTCCTGTCATGTGGATGAATGCAGTGAAATACTGGAAATATGTGGGTTGACGAATTTAATTTCCACCATTAACACCACTATAAACTGCGAGTGCACGATTCTGCATTCGAGTAAGCTGATCTCTTGTAAAACCAAGTGGGGTCTTTCAACATTTGCAGAGTCCTTGTTTTTAATTTTGTTGGAGGGGGTTTAGAAATTGACTAGTTTGTAATGTACAATGTCTTCATATAAAAGAGTGTACAATATAAATTGAACAATAGAAAAAAAAAGCTTCCAGCTTCAGCTTTATTTGTTCAGATGTTCTTTCAGCTACTCTGGATTGTAAGAAAACAGCAATGCAGAAACTGGTTTCTGCTATTCCTCTTCATCTCCAGTAATCTTTTTCTTAAGAGCTTGAACATCTCTTCCCAGTTCATCCCGTCCACTCTGAGAACAGAAAATCCAGTTTTAGCATTAGCCATATATGCGCACTATCTACCATCAACTGTGAACGTACGCTAACAGAAAAATGATACTACTGGTAATAAAATACCATATTCAGCATGTTATTTAACTATTTAAGTCCCAAACATTTATGCGCTTACAGTAGAGATGTAGATTTGTGGCTATCAAACTAAATTGAAATATGATTTCCTAGGTCGTTTGGCATGTTGAGGGTTTCTGATGCATGGAGAGTTATGCAACTAAAACATGTGAAAACTCAACTTGTCTTTAATTTGCATCAGCTGACATTGAAAAAGATGCATGATTGGCCTATATGTAACCGAGGTGACAGTCGTAGTAAAGAAATGAATGAATAATACTTTGTTTACATGACGAAAGTAATACTGGGTGGGTTGATGAAGTTATTCCTATAAGATTGACCTGAAGTTTCTTAGCAAAAACCTCATTTGGGTGCATGCTGTTTTAGCCTATGTTTATATCAAACTGTAGATAGATGCAAGAAATGATCTTTATTTCTTTCATGCTAAGACCGTACCTTAAAGAGAAGATATCTGTAGACGAACCATCCAAAATATCCAAGCCCAACCAACTCCAAAAACTTGGGTAACTGGTTCAGAAAAAGTTAAACTGTCAGAGACATTCACTCAGGTTCAATAATCACAAGAAAGTAGAGAAAAGAAATTATGATAACCCCAAACGAACAAGGCTAACTAAACTAGTTAATGTAGCATAGACACTATTGGCTTTTGGCACCCTATGCGTTGATAAAACACTGGAAAAGACTAGTGCAATTAGACCACTTACCAGGGGTATGGAGTCTAATGTATCAGCAATGATTGAAGACAACCAAAGACCAAGGATTGCAGAACCTCCATAAATAAAGACTGTGGGTTTCTTTTCGAGTCTGTCCCACTATTACAAAGTTTTCACACAGTTGAATTTCAGCAAACGAATAAATGAGCCAGTTTTGAGGCATTGCAAATGAACTATCAAATGTAGAGAGCCTTACCGTGTCTTTTACATTGGAAAATACCTTTCTGATGCGAGTATCAGATTCAGACGTTTCCTCATCAGAAAAGGAAGCCCTGATCTTGAAGATAGGAGATCTCTTGGAACCTATGCAACGTCGAAAGCCTGAAATTTTTTACACCTTAGAGCAAAGAACTCTGGCTTGATGCAAGACCGAATAGTCTCCTAGAACTAAAAAGTCGGAAAGTAAATTCTTTTTTCTTTCCAATTTGGAACTGTAAAAAAACTTCTCCGTTTATGCAGAACATGAATGCATTCACTTGGAACATAAACAGAGTTGGGACCAATAAGGCCCTGCTAAATTTACTTGTATATAATCCAACCCTTGTGTGTCAATTTTGCAATTTGTGTTAAATTTGTACTCTATATGATCAATGTTTGTATTTCCATAATGATGGATAGCTGGTATATTCATACATTTCTACTATTTTTCCTTGAAAAGTTAGACTGTGATAGTCTTGATACGAGACAACACTAATGAAAGCAATAATAACGAAAAGGAAGAACACACAATCTTAATAAAAACCCTAGACGGAAAAAAAACCCACGGTCAGTGACCAACCAACTCATATTATTTATTTCTCAATCTTTATACAAATACACAAAGTAAATCATGCTTATATACACTGCGAAAAACCCTAATCCTAATTTGCTTGAAATATGCTCCAAGCAAAATATCACAATGGAGATGTCTCGCCGTCATGGACCATAGACCTCTGATAGGGACTGTACAGGTCAGGCCGATTGAGACTCATATATTTAGGCAAAGTCAAAAGTTTTTTTTTTATCTCAAATTAACAGTTTTATATTCACAAAAAAAAAAGCAGAGCAGACACAGCAAAAACTATAACTATCGAGGAACCTGAGAAAAAAAGAAGACGATGTAATATTAACCTGTGGGTGACCTAAAAGAGGATGAAAACGATGAACGAGCAGCTTGAGGAGAAAGACGAAGCAAAGAAGGGACATTGGAATGGCGTAACCTCATGGTCATGGAGGAATGTGGAAGTGACATGATCCGTTCCATTGAAGAAGAAGAAGAAACAGAAGAAGCTGTAGCCATTTTAGCCGTCTAATTTTTCTCTCTAAAAAAATTCTTTTTCTTATATCAAATATGGAGTTGACACAAGTAGCAACCAGCTATACTTTTTTACAATTTTTTATAATGGCAGCTCACACATAACTTAAACCTTAATTATCTGATATCCTTTATTTTTCTACTGTTATAGCTTATATGTATCGAGCACTTCCATCTTTTTCCTACCCAAGTCTGAAAGACCTAGGGTGTGTTTGGTACGTTGGAAAATGTTTTCTTTGAAAACAAGTGAATATTTAACTTATTTTTTCATATTTGGTTGGTGGATAGAAAATATTTTTTAATGTTTGGTTGGTAAATGAAAAATATTTCCAAAAAATATCTTATATCTTTTACTTGAAACTAGAGAATACTCTTTAGAAAAATAACTTTTGATCCGATAACGTAAAAAATGCAATTTTAAAAATTTGAATATTTTTCAAAAAAAATATTTTCTGAAAAATATTTTCGTACAGAACCTACCCCTAAAGTTTGGTGAGGTTTGTATAACAAACGGCAATAATTGAACTCGTCATAGTGGGTCATTGTCATTGATTAATTCAACAAAAACATGTTACATTTTTTTTAGCACATTGCTATAATTGATGAGAAATGGATTGCTGGTCTCCGCATATGATTCCTCATGAGCTAGCTTTTGAGGTTGAATTAGACTTGGATGCCATAACTTTATATGATATTAAAGTCAGATTCATCCCCGTTTAGACTTGTGGTTAGCTCATGAAGTTGAATTATGCTCGGATACCATAACTTTACGTGATATTAAAGTCAAGTTCATCCCGTTTAGACTGATGGTCTATTTATATAAACTTGGACAATCCTCTCCTCATGAACTAGTTTTCAGGGTTAAGTTAGGCTTGGGTGCAATATCTTTACATTATTTCTTTTTTTTAGGCCCACTATCATTCTTGATGTCTACCAAAATCACTTTTTTTAAAAATAAAATAAATCATATATTTAGTCCAAACAGTTAGATCAGTCAAGAAAGCGTGCTGATTATGCAAACTAGTACAATTATTGGGTATGTTATGCCAATCAACAATAAGAGAATGAAACTGAAAGGCAATATATTTTCTCATACAAATTAGCTTTTTTTCTCTGATAAAAGAAGTTACAGCTCCAGCAGTGGCTCAATTGAGCTCTTTAACTATTTACCTCACGTTGAAGTTAAGAAAAATCAAGATTTAAGGCTAATGTATAACGAATAAGATTATGGGAAATGGGAAGAGGCCTCTCACAATGTGAGCAACTTAGGTCCAAAAATTTCCCTTCAATTGCTTGTGTTGTCTGTCATCTGTGCCCACCGACTCTTCCTGCAAACCTTGCTAGAGGGCCAACAGTGTGACCAGGCAATCAAAGGATTGTTGATTGAAGCCTGAAAAGGGTAATGTGCTAAGCAAAATGCGTATAAGAACTTTCCACTTACATGAGTAACTGAAATACATGCACAACTATGTAACTCCTGGAAGAGTCACCAATAGTCACTACATGAGCAAACTCCATTTTGAAAGTGATGATAACGATTTGTATCCCTAACTACAATCAGACGTTGGGTGATCTTGGAGATAAGTTTGGCAGCAATGTGGCAATCTCCACACACGCGTAAATTTTTAGTAATTTTAATGGGTGTACCATGACTGGTGTTCATAATTGCAAAGACAATAGCCAGCTTCTCACTATGAACTACTAGATGATTTTCTTTGTCTTCCTCCTCAACGTCGTGAAGGGCAGAATCTGTTTCTGGGACATATCCTTCCTCTTTCATCTTACCTATTAATATGTCTAACTCTTCATAGATCTCCTTTGATTGTGAGTGAGACGTGTCACCAGCAAGAAAGGTGTGCACCATGTTATTTAGCTCTACATTGCTGACACCAGGCATTTTCTTAATCCCTTTTCCCTTCATGATTGACCTAACAGTCGTTACATCTTTCCATCTTCCAGCCTTTGCATAAATATTTGATAGCAAGACATAATAACCAGACTGCTTTGGGGCCAATTCAAAAAGATTGTCTGCAGCTACAAGCCCAATGTCCATATCATTGTACACCCGACAGGCACCCAAAAGAGCACCCCAAATTCTCTCATTAGCCTCTATAGGCATATGCTTGATGAAATTGAAGGCCTCGTTTATGTGTCCTGCTCGTCCTTTTAAATCAACCATGCAGGCATAATGTTCTAACCTAGGAACAATCTTGTACTTGTCTGTCATTTGCTTGTAATAGTGTTCTCCTTCAAGTAGCAATCCTGCATGGCTACAAGCAGAAAGAATGGAAACAAAAGCAATAGAATCAGGTTGAAGACCAGACTCCAACATTTGTGAAAACAACACAACTCCATCCCGACCTTGGCCGCTCTTACCATAAGCAGATATCAGGGAAGTCCATGACACAACATCCCGAAACTTCATCCCCTCAAACATTTTTCTTGCCTCTGTCAAACACCCACACCTAGCATACATATCAACTAATGCGTTCTCAAGAGATAAATTTGGACGAAGACCTTTTGTCTCAATAAATTCATGAATCCTCCTTCCCAATGATACAGCTGAAAGATCCCCACAAGCAGGAAGAATGCTAGCAAAAGTTATAGCATCAGGTTCTATCCCACAAGTTTCCATTTGGAGATAGAGCTCAACCGCCTCATTAGGCATATAATTCTTGACATATACAGCTATCATCACGTTCCATGCAACCAAATCCTTTATATCCAAACTCATGAAAATATCTTTGACAAACAAGACATTCTCAATGCTGGTATTGCTTACAGCAGGTAAAAGGCTAGCCATGGTTCCTGCATTTGGCTTATAACCTAACACGTTCATTTCTTTACAAACCTCTAACGCATCATCAAACCTTCCATTTTGAGCATATCCAACAACCATTGAATTCCAAGAAACAACGTCCCGTTTGGGCATTTCACTATGAACCTGGCGAGCCTCCACTAAACACCCACATTTCCCATACATAGCCACCAGACAATTACCAATAAATAAGTCAGAATCAAGACCCCTCTTGCCAACAGCACAGTGAATCTGCATCCCCACCCTCAAATTGTCGGAACCAAAACAAGCTTTAAGAACACACGGAAACGTATAGTTATCAGGGTTAACATCTCGTTTACACATATCTATATAAATAAAAATCGCATCTTTATAGTACTTGTTATTCACATAGCTCCTGATCATGACATTATAAACCGCCGCATTTCTCTCAGGTATTTTATCGAACAGTTGGCGGGTAACATTAGGTTGGCCACAAGCAGCATAAGCACGCATCAATTTGATGGCAAGAGAAGTGTTGTTACATAAACCCGGATCGAAAATGATCTTGGAATGAAGTTTCTTCAGTGTTTTGATATCTGGGAGTCTGTCTAATATACGACTGGAAGAAACTTCGTCTACATGGAAAGAGTAGCTCAGCTGGGGTTTTCTCACTGTTTGTATATATGAATAGGCCGTGGAACTATAGCGGCAAAGACGCAAGGAGGTTGAAATGGATGTCATGAAACAGCAGCTTACAAATTTATTGATGATTGTTCAAATAATTTATTCATGGAAGTCCATGGTTCCTACATTGAATTGCACTTTCTAAATGAATTATGATTTTTGGGTTATATACAAGTAACTTTCTAAATGAATCATTATTAACTCCTAATTTAGATGTTAAAAAGATTAAAATAGAAGTAAAATAAGATGCAACACTTCTTGAAAAATATTTATAACTTATGGTCGAAACCCATTAAAATTTTGTGTGCGGAAGTTGAATATTTTTGGGTATTAATGGATATATGTCTTTTAGACTTACGGTCTTCAGAATGTGTCATCTTTTTGAGGGGAAAAAAAACTCACTTTTGAAATACAAAACATAGTTAGTAAGAAATTTTGAAGGCTTAACAACTGACCACCAGTCCTTTTGACAATTAATAACTATGGTAGATTATATCACTCTCGTCGGCAAAAACGCTAGTTGGATGATTTTGTGCATCTATAAAACACTAGTAGAAAATATAACATAGATGACAATTGACAAATCTGTGCAAAAGAAATAAGATTGACATAGGATACAGTTAATTCAGGCTCACTAACTCCAGGGCCTGCAAGACCACTAGCTTCTTTACTTCTCTTTGCTCATGCAAATGTCCCACGTTGGTTTATGATATTCCGGAATTCCTCATCTTGATTAACTTCATATGCTCATGAAAAATAGATTGACGTTGAGCTCTCCGCTGCCCTAGTTGTGGTTTGTTGGGGGATATATAGCTGTAGCAAATACATAGGCAATCTATGCCAATGCCAAAGAAGATATTGCAAACATGCAGTTAGTTTCAATGAGATTCTGCTAAGTGGTAATGAGACCAATACTCCTTAACGAGTTGTCCGAAAAGCGAACTTTCTTGCTTCATCAGCTTCATTGGTTCATCATACTCCACTAGTTTCCCTGTATTCACAACCAACGTTAAACATTCTGGGATTAACATGTCTGAAAGTCATATCATAGTCGTGTCTAAAAGTAAACGAAGAGGTATTACCATCACTAATGGCCAGAACCATAGTACAATCCATTACTGTGGGTATCCTATGGGCAACTGTAATTACAGTACTGTTAGCAAATTCTGTCCTGATGGTTTTCTGCAATATCATATCAGTGGCATTGTCAATCGATGCAGTTTGCTTCATCAAGCACCAAAATCTTACTTTTCCTCAAAAGAGCACGTCCCAAACAGAACAATTGTCGCTGTCCCATGCTCCAGTTTGATCCATCTTCCACAACTGAAATGACTCTACAATGGTCAAACAGAAATCCACAGATAAAATAATCAGACTTGCATTTAGACGACTTACCCAGTGAGTCAAGCCCCTTTTCTTTTTCTTCCACTGCTTCTCTCAGCTGACATTTCCCAAGAACCTTTTCCATTGAAGATGAGAATGAAAGCAATAAATCAGAAAATCGCCTTTGCTACAATGCATATTCTCCATCTAATGGCAAGAATAATGACCAACACATAATAAGTTAATGCATATTACCTCCCATATTTCCTCATCAGTATGCTGACTTAAGGGGTCCAAGTTGTATCTTACTGCTCCATTGACGAGTGTAGGGTCCTGAGGTATAAT